TATTAAGAATAGCACCTGACTCTGAGTTCGAATAAGACTTTGCCCCATTGTAAATCAATATTACAATGCACTAAACCAGTCTTAGGCTGAGTATGGCTGCTATGTAATCGTTTGAAGTTGTGCCTGACTCAGTCTTCGTTTTTACTATGCCTTTCCCACCTCATACCAGACTTCATATTGTGTAATTGACATATTCAAGTTTAGAAGACATTTGCAGTATGCGCCATATCATTTATTTATCTACAGGCATTTGCTCACCTTGAAAATGTTGACCTCAATTAGAAAATTGTACAAGCACATTGGTCCAAACCTAATTAAAACAGATATGAACCTATTCATTTCTGCTCCTCGAGTACAATGTTGGAATAGTGTCTTGTGTCTGTCTTTGTGTTTTAAACACAACGCTTGGTTTGTTTTTTCTACGCAGACGAAGGCTTTCTCTCGCATTCGCTTTAGTCAATAGTAATTTTGATCGGAAACCATATTTCTCGGCCGATAGAGTAGATTTCTCTTAATAATAGCACAACTCAGGAATCAGTCCTCTTTCCTCTACTCTTCATTACGGTATTAGCACAAGATCCCAAAGACACCTCCACAAGCTCTGGTGCTGATGGCAGAAAGCAGTAAAGGACATGAAGATCAGCACAGAAATGGAAGAAGCAATTAATGCTCTGCGTTCGAAAATTAACACGATGAGGTCATATGTAAAGGAAGGAGGTGAAACCTCAGAAACAGCATTCATCCATAGGAGCCAATTAAGGGGATAAGTTTCTTTTCAAAGATTGAGAAGTCGCATCTTCGCCAAAGGAGGACTTCAACCAGGCTGCATTTGTCCAGGCTATCAGCCAGGACATATGCAGCCTAGATGAAATAGAGAAGGTTCATCTGAGTTCTATGTGATAAGCGAATGATAGTGCCATCTCAACCATACTGTAATCCGTCAGACAACGTGGTGTGGCTGTTATTGTTGGGCAAGTAGCGAAATGAGGAACACAAGACTCATGGAGACAAGGACGCTGCAATGAACACTAAATGACCCTTCTTGATCACAGTTGCAATGACAAAGCTCTAGATAGGAAAGGACGTTTCTCGCAACGCCAAAAAAAATGCAGAGAAGGCGACTGCGATGGCACGGGCATGTGAAAAAAAAGAGAAGAAACGCACAGCACAAAAATGCCACTGTAGAGGCTATGAAATGTCAAAGATAGAATGCATGGACAAAATCAGAAATGACTAGAGAGCCTAGCACAGATGAACATCATGACGGGATTTTCAGAGGCAGTAGGTTGTGTTAGCACCCTGTGAACAGGAAAGTACGAAGATAAGAAACTTACAGCAAGAATCAACAAATCAATATGTTCATTTTTTGTAGAAAAATTAGGAAATAAGATTGCTGCTTCTATTGTGAGTTAAACACATAGACTAGAAATATGTTTGCTCAAGGAAGTGAACGTAATGTTTGTCTCCATCCCAAATCTCTTAATGGATTCACTCCCTCGTAATGGAATCTCCGCTGGTTTGGTACAGTTTCAGCCGTTTGGAACGATGAATGCATATGGTTTCCCAAATCGTTCGTTGCTATTATTGCTGTGGTTTCCGTTATTCAAATGTGCAGACACTTTCAATGGAGCTCAAAAATGTTTCTTCCGTTGCATTTCTGGTTGCCTGGTTACAGCTGAGGTATTGAACGTTATTCTAAAGATAGGATAAATTTCACATCGTAGGGATGGGGACGAGCTGAAAATTACCGTATTTAGCTATGTAGGAATTGACAGCAAAATCAGCTTGAATTGAAACTATTCGTTGATGTCCACCTCTTTGCCGCAAAAAGCAACCAGATGATACACGCATACAGTTTGAAGTGATAGCACTTGTGCTTCTCAAAATATAATCATTCAAAACAGTATTTTTACGATCAACTGAAGAGTGTATCGAGTTTAGCCCATATAGTCCAGAACAAATGAGCAATGTAATGCATAAAACTATGATGGTGGTGTTTTTACAAACAGGAGGCAGCGAAGAAGACGAAAAGTCCATTTGGCCCAGAAACTATTGATAGTTGTTTGGTTAGTTGCAAATTGAGGAAACGTGACAGCCCGGAGCTTTGCGTGAGTTCCTATTTTATTTTTTCCTAAATGCAATTGCTATGTGCTGCTGCTGTTGCTGTAATGGTTGAAGTTATTCCTGAGTTCAGAACGCAACCGATAAAAGTTGCTGGAAGAAATGCAAAGACTTAAATCCAGCAAAAACGCTAGAAGCCGTTAGCGGAATTCATGTAAAGGAGGAGGACTTGAAAATAATTCTTGTCTTTCAACCAGTTCGCTATGCCTATATGTATATAGCGCAATACAAAGGAGCTAGCGAAGCCGACTTCATATCTGATCGTTTCCAGGTATGATATGACCACTTTTTCTAATATGAATACTATACTTATTTTAGATTTCGCTACTTCCAAATATAGAAATCAATAGACCAAGGTCCATATTTTGCGAATCAGTTACAATACGGTTTGTTCATCTGATGTCCTCTAATCACCTTTCAGCACACACGGCCCTGTAAATAAATTTCCAGTCTTTCTGAGAGAAACTGTTAGGCTTGCTTCATAACTTCACGTGAAGATTAATTATTTGACGCTCATTTTCATGCACATTTCGCCCTGTTCTGATTTTTGATTTTGGGTTCAGAAGGAAAATGTGGTCAACACGAAACAACATTTTCGACACCTGATAGTGTTTGCTTTTGAATGCATATAGCTTTGAAACAAGATCGATCGCGGACCTTCAATATTCTCCAAACACCAAGTGGGCCAAATGAGTTCATGGAAACCAATTGGGGGCTGGAGGGGGAGGGAGGTTCCACAACCTCTGTACACGTAGGAACAAAAGAATGCCATCTTTTCCGATAACATCTTCCAATTATAGGCGCATCCTCCGATAACATGGTGTTTCTTATAAGTTGGCTTAAAGTATCCGGCCTGCTTTCTCAACAGGAGGCGTAGCGATTGTAATGTAGTGGTATAGACCAATTTTTGTGAAAAAGATAAAATTTTGAGCAATTGTAAACACTGTATTTTATGACCAGCTGCTTCCAGTTCAAATAAAAAAATTTTGTATGGTTCTCAATAAGTCAAAACGGTTTTCCATCGAACTGATATCTCATTTTTTTGGTTTAAAATGTAGAACGGGACTAAATGACTTGGGAAGAGTGCATTAGCTTCATCAAGCAAAGAGCTTTGAACTTACAGAGACATTAAAGGCGCAAAGAAATGAGCGTAGAAAATAACTACGGCAAATTGTAACAGCTTATTTACAGCTTTTCATTCCTTCCGCAATATGAAAATCTCTCAGTTTGAATCATTTTAAGTGTGGCAGCTGTTTCGTCTGACGGAACGAGTCCATTCTCCAAACCATTCTCAATTAGCGCACCCCTTCCACCAATCAGCCTTAAACTAGAAGTGTCAGAGTTGGTATACGTGGTATGTTTTCTGTTAATCTCAAAATCTTGTCGCAGTGATATGAAAGACGGATTTAGCCCAACCCTCTAAATAATGACCCATACACTGCTAATGGCACGGTGGAGATCACCTTCACTTTCAATGCTGGAGGTTAACTTTATGAATATTTTCGTTCAGCTCAGATTAAAAGCCATTGATTTGTAGGGTGGGCTCTGGGGCTCCAAGATTTGGAAGTGACGCCAATGCTCCTGTTGGACCAATGCGAAGGGATGGATGCGTACCAGAGCGTAAATGTTCCTAGCTTTGTAAGTCCTACGATGAACTGTCCTGCTGAAGCAAAAACATACTGATATTCTTTAGACGCAGGGCTTAATGTCCGGTACAGTTATAGGACGAGTGGGGTCTGACACAATGTACCGTGAGTGTACTTTTGCATATTACGCGAAAAAGGTCACAAGTCGACTGTGCCGTACTTCAACGGAAATTCGCCCTATTCATCACCAAGCTCCGAAAAAGATACTTATAAGTTGGTCTTTTTTGGATACTTCTATTCTATTCATATATTCGTTTTATCATTCACATAGAAGCTTCCCATGCTGCCTAAAAAATGCTTAAGTAAGGGTAGAAAGGAGTTTCGATTTAATTTATAAATCGGGTAATTGCGAAGCCGAAATCAATGCTCAAG